CTTCAGGGGCTTCGGACATTCCCCAGTCGAGCACGGGAAGTCTTGGTCATGACCCCTCGGCGTCCCACTGGCAACCCCAGTGGCAATTTTGGAACCCCTGGGCATATTATCAAGCCCAGGGTGCCCCTTCCGTTGCCCGCCCGTCAACACGATCAGGCACCCAGCCTCCTCAGGCGACCCTCAGCCACCCTCCTCCAGACTCGGAGCAACCCGTGGAGTCAGCCTCTGTGGTAGAAGCTACCCCAGGCGCCCAGGAAGATCTGGCCACAGCAGACCAAGGGGCCACTTCCGATCTGACTCCCCCAGTTGCGTCGTCCTCGTCTTCCCTTGATGAGGCCGTGGCTGGCACGTCCATGTCTGGCCCACCCCCCATGGACTTTAGAGTCCTGCAAGAACTACTTAGGCGCGTAGCCCTAAATATGAACCTCCAAGTTGAGGAGGTTGTGGAGGAGGAGAATCCTATGGTGGACATCTTAGGCCCAGAAGGACCTTCCAGGGTGGCCCTCCCCATGAATGCCAAAGCTCTCTGGCAAACTCCCGCCTCCATCCCCTCCCACAGCCAAAGGGGTGGAAAGAAAGTACTTTGTCCCCACCAGGAGATACAAATACCTTTTTACCCACCCCGCCCCATGTTTGCTTGTGGTAGTTGCAGTGAATGCAAAAGAGAGACAGGACCAACAAGGGCCCGCCCCAAAATCAAAGGACGCCAAGCGGCTGGACCTTTTTGGAAGAAAAGTTTATTCTACCGGTGGCCTTTCGCTATGGATTGCGAACCAGCTGGCGATCCTCACTAGATACAATTTCAACTCGTGGTCTGCGGTCCTTAAGTTCCAAGACTTTCTTCCAGCGGAGGCTCGTACAGAACTGGGGGCCATTGTCGAGGAGGGCAAGTTGGTAGCTCGAACCTCCCTTCAGGGTTCCCCCAATGCCGCGGATGCAGCTGCACGCACTCTGGCATCGCCAAGCATCGAAACGCCTGGCTCCAGTCATCGGGTCTTCCGTCTGAGGTGCAACACACCATACAAGGTCTCCCCTTTGATGGCTAGGGCCTGTTTGCAGAGCAAACCGATTCCTGCCTGCATACCCTGAAAGACACAAGAAATACTATTAAATCCTTGGGCATGCATACCCTAGCTACTCAAAGGAAGCTATTTAAACCCCAACAACCAGACCACCCAACAACGCCCCTTCCCACTTAGACCCAGGCAGGACTTCTCCCGTTGGAGAAGCAGGTACCCTCGATGTAGACCATTATGTCCCCGCCCTCCCCCCCAACCCCCCCGGCAGGGTCAAGGGCAATCCAAGCTACCTCCGGGCCCTAAGCATCCATTTTGAAGATACGCTCGAGGACGGACTAACAGCTCACATCCCGGACAGTTATCCTTTTCTGAACCATCTATCCAGTTTCTAACATGCCTGGTCCCTTATTACATTGGACCATTGGGTCCTTCGCATGGTAGAGGCGGGATATTCTATCCATTTCCATTCCACCTCACCCTCCCATCCCTCTTCAGGGACCCTTCTCATGAGCAACTCCTTATCCAGGAGGTACAAACCCTCCTTGCCCTAGGGGCAGTGGAGGAAGTGCCTCGAGAGCTCAGGGGCAAGGGGTTCTACTCCCGCTGCGTCCTCATCCCCAAGGCAAAAGGATGCCTAAGGCCCATCTTGGACCTCAGGGAGCTCAACAAGTACATCGTCAACCTGAAGTTCTGCGTGGTCTCCTTGGCCACAATTATCCCCTCACGGGACCCGGGAGACTGGTATGCCGCCCTCGATATGAAAGAAGCTTACTTTTCACATTCAATTACCCCACCCCACAGACGTTTTCTCTGTTTCGTGGTGAACAAGACGCACTATCAGTTCACAGCCCTCCCATTCGGCTTGTGCACAGCCCCTTGCGTCTTCACCAAGTGCATGGCGGTCGTGGCAGCTTTTCTTCGCTGACATCACGTGCACGTCTTCCCGTACCTCGACGACTGGCTTATACAGGGCTAATCTCACCAACAAGTTCGGTCTTAAGTGCAGCTGGTCATGGACATGTTCAGTCGCTTGGGCATCATGCTGAATGTCAGCAAATCTGTCCTCTCCCCTACCCAGACAATAGAGTTCATTGGGGCAGTCCTGGACGCAAACCAAGCGCGGGCTTTCCTCCTGGCGCCTGGCTCTAGCAAACATAATCACCAACCTCTGCAGGTTTCCCACCACCACAGCGAGGCAGTGTCTCAGGTTGCTGGGCCACGTGGCATCCTGCACCTACGTGGTGCAACATGCCAGGCTAAGATCAGGCCTCTCCAGACGTGGCTAGCATCGGTATATCGACCAGGCTGCGACAATCTAGATATGGTGCTCACAGTCCCAACCCGCACACTCGACTCCCTGCGTTGGTGGCTGGATCCCCGTATGGTGGGTGCCGGGGTCCTGTTCCATCCCCCTCAACCCACCCTGACCCTGGTTACAGACGCATCTGCGCTGGGATGGGGGGCCCACCTCAGGAGCCTGACAACGCAGGGCCTATGGCACGAAAATGAGCTGTCCTTGCACATCAATATCAAGGAGCTCAGGGCGATTTGCCTTGCGTGCCAAGTGTTCCTTCCCCACTTACAAGACCATTGTGTAGCAGTCCTATCTGAACAAACAGGGTGGAGCCCGGTCATTGTCGCTCTGCCAAGAAGCCCTTCTTCTGTGGGAATTCTGTTTAGCCCACTCCATCACCCTTCAAGCCTCATACCTGCCAGGTGTCCAGAACGTACTGGAAGACAACTTGAGCAGGTGTTTTCTCACGCACGAATGGTCGCTTCGCTCGGACATCATTCACTCTGTTTTCCGCATCTGGGGGTTTCCCCGAATCGACTTGTTCGCTTCACGGACCAACAGGCAGTGCCCAGCCTTCTGCTCCTTCCGGGGTCACAGCCCGGGCTCGATCGCAGTCGCCTTCCTGATCGTGTCGTCGAACCAACTACTTTACGCCTTCCTGCCATTTCCGCTGGTCCACAATGTGCTCCTCAAGGTCCGCTGGGACAAGGTGGACATCTGTGTTGGTACCCTATCCTGCTGGACCTGTCAATTCAGGTTCCCCTACGTCTGCCTCTCAGCCCCGACCTCATCTTGCAGAACCACGGTCGTCTCCTACACCCAGACCTTCAGTTGCTCCACTTCACGGTCTGGAGGATCCGTGGTTGAACCAGGCTGAGCGTGCCTGTTCGGACTTGGTAAGGCGGGTGCTCCTGGAAAGTCGCAAGCCTTCGACTACGCTTACTTACGAAGCTAAATGGAAAAGGTTTTCCAGCTGGTGCGCTCAGCAGCTGGTGCTCCCACTCCAGGCTTCAATCCTGAGTATCCTAGACTACCTGATGTTTTTAAGGACCAGCACCTAGCTTTTGGATCCCTTAAAGTTCACCTCGCAGCCATTTCTGTGCTCCACACAGGAGCGGCCGGGCGCTCGGTGTTTGCACAACCGGTCGTGTGGCGTTTCCTCAAAGGCTTGGAAAAAATCCATCCTCCAGCGAAGCAGCCTGTGCCTACATGGGACCTTAACTTGGTTCTTTCCTGCCTTATGGGCCCGCCTTTCGAGCCGCTGGCTTCCTGCTCACTCCTCTATCTTTCCTGGAAGGTCGCCTTCCTATTGGCCATCACTTCGGCACGGCGGGTGTCCGAGCTACGGGCTCTCACATGTGAACCGCCTTATACCATATTCCATAAAGATAAAGTTCAGCTGAGACCTCACCCAGATTTCCTGCCAAAAGTGGTGTCCTGCTTCCATGTAAGTCAGGACATTTTTCTACTGGTTTTTTACTCAAAACCACACCTCGACATTTGGGAACAGCGCCTCCATTTGCTGGATATTAGGAGGGTGCTTGCCTTCTATATAGACCGAACAAAGCCATTCCGTAAGACAACCCAGTTGTTTATTGCCATCGCGGAGTGGATGAAAGGCGCACCGGTCTCCTCCCAACGGATATCTTCATGGATCACCTTGTGTATCCGTACCTGGTACAAGTTGGCAAATCTCCCTCCACCTGTTGTCATGGCTCACTCCACGAGAGCTCAGGCATCGTCAGCGTCCTTTCTGGCAAACATTCCCCTCCAGGAAATCTGCAGGGCTGCCACGTGGGCCTCAGTGCACACCTTCATGTCCCACTGCGCCATCGTCCAGCACTCTCGTGATGATGCGGCCTTTGGCAGAGCGATTCTTCAGTTTGAGGTAAGGCTTGGGAGTCATCTAACTGGAATTGATATGAGCAAGCACTCGAAGAAGAAAAAACAGTTACTCACCTTTCTGTAACTGTTGTTCTTCGAGATGTGTTACTCATATCTATTCCATTTCCCCCCCACCTTTCCCTCTGTCGGAGTAGCCGGCAAGAAGGAACTGAAGGGGGGTCGGGCCGGCAGGGTCTTATATAGAGTGCCATATCGACGCCACTCCAGGGGGCTCCCCAGCCGGCCTGACGGGTAGCTGCTAGGGAAAAAGTTTCCAACATCCGTGAACGTGGCACACGCATACACCTAACTGGAATTGATATGAGCAACACATCTCGAAGAACAACAGTTACAGAAAGGTGAGTAACTGATTTTTTGGAGGAAAAAAAACCTATCACATAGCTTAGACTTCTGTGGAAAGTGTCAGTGTTGAAGGGGCACAAATGTCACAGCTTTCATGTTGAAGTGCACGATTTACCCTGGGGTAAGCATGTAAAGCATCGATCTATGAGATGCTTAGCTCAAGTCTGTGTTGTTAGCCTCTTACTTCATTTGCAGTGAAACTTGCCAAATTCAGCCACACATTTCAAAAGGCAGTGGTGGGAGGAGGCTGCAGCAGGGAGTGGTTTCTTTTTATCAAGATTAACCAGATGTTCTGAGCAATTTTACCCTAATTAATTTAACAGCCTATACTCTAAATTACGTATTTCGTCTGGTTTTAATGTGCGTGAATGATGTTCTGCCATTGCAAGGATTCCATGGCCCAATTATATTTATTATGGTTCTGTTTTGTTTTCTTACAGGCTAAACATATTGTTGGCTGGTATGAACCCATTCTATTTCCATGCAGTGAATGTAATTTTACACTGTCTAGTGACTCTTGTCCTGATGTATACTTGTGACAAAGCTGTATTCAAGGATGGTCGACTGGCTTTTGTCACGGCTCTCTTCTTTGCTGTGCATCCTATTCACAGTGAGGCTGTAAGTACATATGTAAAACTGAGATAGTACCTAAAAGAAATACATGTTTATAACTTTTTTAAAAAATAAACCTTTAATACAAAACATACCATTTGCTGTGATTCAATGTGGTGCTTGCTTTGAAGAGTCAACAGTAAAATAACAAAAATGAAAAACAAACTAAAGAACCTCAAACCTTTTGCATTCAAAATAATAACATACATTAAGAATAAACTTCGTACTTGCTGTCTTTCCACTTCATATTAGCTGCAATTCCAATTAGCCATCCTAACCAGCAATGCTAAAAATAATTACACAATGTTTCGATTGAAGAAAATGTGGATCCCCACCATCTCTCAAAACCAGAAAACTTTGTGAGGCATCTGTCCTGCTGAGACATTGTTCTGTTTCTTAAATCTTTTTTACAGAGTCTTTAATTTCTAAACAGAAAAGGGCCCCTGTAATTCATAATGTAACTTGGTGTGCATTCTGGACAAGATAATAGAAAAATGCTGATATAGGTCGTAGGTCTATATTGACCCATGAATTTACTCACATAGCTCTTAATTAGAAACTATGGATTTTTTTTAATCTAGGAAAAAAGCTTCTTTGAGTACACTTTATGGCAAAGTTGCAGTATATAAGCTTATGTTGCTTTTCTACTAATCACAGGAAAATGCAAGATATCAAAATATATAGATACCTTGTTTTAAAATGACGGCTATTTTAATTCCCATGTAGATAAAATAGTTGTGTGTTTTCTTTCAAATGGGGATGCAATTTCTTCTGTTTCCAGGTAGACAACAAGTGTGTGTCTAGTTAAGATATTGTCAGCATTGTATTTTGTTGTTATGACCTATTGTAAACTAGTGAGAGTGAAATGACTGCCAGTGCTGAGAACTTTTGAGGCGAGAGTGCCTTAATAACAAAAGAGCCATGAGCTTTACAGTTACCCCTTGTGTTGTCTCTGTAAGCTAATCAGCCAGGCTCCTTTACATAATGCTGCTTTATAATATAAGCGAGGTTTTAGAGGAGGCTGGCTTTGAATTTACTCTTGTCTAGATCAGAATTTGGGGAGTTTAAAGCAAATGCCAAAGCATTGAAGATTACATAATTAAGTTATCTTAAAACAGCAAAAGCTTCAAAGGGCCTTTAATTTCCTTTATGTGCAGTTTCTGAATCTTTATTAAGTGGAATGCTGAAATATTTTGTAATTTGAATAATTATAAAGAAACTTGCCAATTAGAGTCTGAAAAACTCTCATATGTACTAAGTTAGCACTCGCAATTTATTGTCTGTCTGAACTGATTATTAACTAACATTTGAGTAATAAGCTTTCTTATTATGTAGGAGTGACTTTTAGTCTTTGGGGAGGATTCTTATCTAAAATCAGTTCTCACAGTATTAAAGACTATGATTAAACTTCACAGTTTAGTGAATCAGGCATACATTTCTCTTTTTGATCCCCATTTTAATTATTTCATAAAAATCCCAACCACAGTTATGTTTTTATTTTCTGAGCTGTTTCTATAAATGCTTGTTAAAATAATTTAACTTTGGTTTTAGTCAGTCCGTATATTGTTGTTGTTACACAAAATAGCTTAATTACTCTATATCTATATTAGAAAAATACCCAAATTCCTACTGATTAGGGTGCCAGGATGTGGGGAAGAAGAGAGAGACAGAAAGAAAGGAGGGGAAAAACCCATAAAGCAAAGGCAATTGGTATGGGTCATTGAAACAGTCTCTAAAGGGTTTTTTTAAAGTGTAATTTTCATGTTTCTTCTTTTTTTCCTCTTAGGTAACAGGTATTGTAGGCAGAGCGGATGTCTTAGCCTGTCTACTGTTTCTGTTGGCTTTTCTCTCCTATAATAGGTATGGATATTTGATATTAAATGTTATGAGATGTTGAGACATGAGTTTTTTGGGGGGGAAGGAATCCATATAAAATCCTAACTATTCAATTTTATTAAAAATTGACAAAGCAAGTCCTCTCAACCCATGCTGTTTTTTAAGTCACTCACTCTGTGTAAAAGTGCTTTTGGACCCTTCTTTCAGTCATGCACACAACTTGCAGGGATATTAATAAATATATGTATCAGAGGGGTAGCCGTGTTAGTCTGGATCTGTAAAAGGCGACAAAGAGTCCTGTGGCACCTTATAGACTAACAGATGTATTGGAGCATAAGCTTTCGTGGGTGAATACCCACTTCGTCAGATTAATATAGTGGAAATATCCAGAGGCAGGTATAAATACACCTCTACCTCGATAGAACGCTGTCCTCGGGAGCCAAAAAATCTTACCGCGTTATAGGTGAAACTGCGTTAAATCGAACTTGCTTTGATTCACCGGAGTGTGCAGTCCTGCCCCCCCCGGAGCGCTGCTTTACCGCGTTCTATCCAAATTCGTGCTATATCGGGTTGCGTTATAGCGAGGTAGAGGTGTATGCAGGCAAGGATCAGTCTAGAGATAATGAGGTTAGTTCAATCCGGGAGCATGAGGCCCTCTTCTAGCAGTTTAGGTGTGAACACCAAGGGAGGAGAAACTGCTTTTGTAGTTGGCTAGCCATTCAGAGTCTTTGTTTAACCCTGAGCTGATGGTGTCAAATTTGCAAATGAACTGAAGCTCAGCAGTTTCTCTTTGAAGTCTGCTCCTGAAGTTGTTTTGCTGCAGGATGGCTACCTTTAAATCTGCTATTGTGTAGTAGCCAGTTGCTGCAGATCCTTACTCACAGCCATTTCACTGAAATTAATGGGAGTGCTCACCCAAGTATGTGTTCGCAGCACTGGGTCCATGGTTATTGAGAATATTTTAATGTTTTAAAAATGATGGACATGCTCTTGGAAAACATTTAATGAACTAATTAATAAATATGAAAATAACTTAAATTAAAATCTCTACATCAAATCTATTTTGCAGGAGTGTGGATCATTTTTATGTTGGGGAACATTTCCCTCCCACTGCCTCTCCATTCTTCTTGCTGCTTAGTTTATTTCTTGGGACCTGTGCAATGCTGGTGAAGGAAACTGGAGTCACTGTGTTTGGTGTGTGCTTGGTTTATGACTTGCTTTTCCTGTCCTACAATAGACTTACACTGTAAGTAACTTAATATATTATTCAAACCTTGACACCTTTTATGTGCATAATGGGTAGGTGGGTGGAGAGAGATAGCTCAGTGGTTTGAGCATTGGCCTGCTAAACCCAGGGTTGTGAGTTCAATCCTTTAGGGGGGGATCTGGGGCAAAATCAGTACTTAGTCCTGCTAGTGAAGGCAGGGGGCTGGACTCAATGACCTTTCGGGGTTCCTTTCAGTTTTAGGAGATAGAATATCTCCATATATTATTATTATTATTATATACAGTATGATGGATGGAATTCTGTCCCCATTGAAGTTAATGGGAAACTCCCATTGACTCCAGTAGAGCTAGGATTTCATCCTATATTTTATTTTATGTTTTGCTTGATCCTTTTGCTGGGTGGACAGCTAGCAAAGGGTGAAGAAATGATCTACAGAAACACAACTCAGTTATAGCTAACTTTGAAAGGGTTTGATTTTTATTTTTGTGTGAATTTTGACTAGTGGTATCAATGGTTTTTAAAACTTATTGGCTTAATTTCTGCAGTAGCAGCAAACTAAAACCCCATAACTGTTTGTTCAAAATGTGATGACATGTGAAGTTGTTTTATATCATATTTAGTAATAAAATCAGATTTGTTCATTTATTTCTTAATATTTTATTTGTAACATGAATGATGCTTACATCGGGACTCTTCTGAGCCCTCAAGCAATATCTTTAAATGTTTTTTTTCTTTTTTCCCCTCTGTAAATCTAAATTTGTTAAATATGGAAATATTTTTTTCATCTGTTTTTGGGTGGCTCAAGAATTCCACAGCTGGAGAATTCAGCAGTTATCAACACTTAGTTCAGAAAAATCAAATCCATTCAAGGGGACTTATCACAGTCTTAGTTCTGCCGATAGCTATATGGCTCCTTACTTATAGTGTTAAGTTTTTCTCTTTTTGATAGGCACTAACAACATGTAGAGCCTGTTACATCCATCTCTCCCCCAAACATTCAGTGTTTTTACACTTTCTACATCCTTGTCCCCTCTCTCATATTTTATCTCTTTCCATTGACTTTAACGGGACTTAGATATGGTCCTATGAAAAAAATCCCTCCCCCCACAAGTAGTACTAATCAGTGGTAAGCTATGATACATCACTAGGGTATTTCTTCTTTCTTGATTCTAATACATAACTTCACAAATGGTCTGCCAGTGGCAAGCTATGGACTTCTTTGGGGTTGGCCGTGAGAATGCTTGTAATGCGTACATTTACAATGGATTGTGTGGAGTTGCAGGAACTCTGTGGTTAAGGATAGCAGGAATCTTTAATTATTCAGGGGAACACCCATGCACTTATTTTATATCTCTCTTTTCCTTGGGTTCATGTTCCAGCAGTCTCTGAACATTCTGTTTCCTTGCTTCAGTGACATTAAATAATGGTCATGCTTGGGCCAGAGACCTTACGGTAATGAGAGGCTCTGTGGCCCAGATGTGTTGCATTTCAATAGTCATTCTAATTTATTGTGCACTAGTGTAGCTGTTTATGGTGCTCAGAATTTTGTCTTTGTGTTTGCTTGGTTTTAAGGGATAGGAAAGAACCTGCAGCCAAGTGCTGCTGAGACTCCTTCCCGCACCCCCTGTTTGTTTGAACCAGACCGTCTTTTCTTTTTTTTTTTTTTTTTAACAAGTGAGCTGCCACAAAGGATAATTGTCTAATGAAATATACTATGCAATTTCTCCCTCCTGACTCCCCATCATTCTCACCACTGTAAGCCCTCTTAAGGTCTGTAAGAAAGATTAGACTAATAATATACTGTGAGGTTCTTTTACATATTTTTAATACTGTAGTTTGTACAATAGCTAAGAATCCATTTATTCTGCCCTCCATCATGCCCAGTAGCGGTGAAGTAAATGTCAGATCTTTGCATGGAGAACTGAAGGAAATGTCATTTATTGTATTAAGATAGCAGTTCGGGATAACTTTCCAATACTCCTTTTTTTAATGAAGTAAACATGAAACAAAAGAACCATATCTTAAAAGGCCTCTTTCCCCCCTCCTACCCCCCCCTTGTGCTTCTCAATTCAATGAGTAATTAGGAGAAATGGAGGGGTGCATCAGAGGTTCGCACAGCAGCCTGCGGCTTCTCCATCTGCTTCGCTGCAGATTCCTCCATCCAGCAGGGAGAATGGGAAGCACCGGTTTGCTCACAAAGGGACCTGGAACTCATGCCACCCTGCATCACCTGAAGAGCAACGGAGCAGCAGCCTTTCTGTCTCAAACAAAGCCATGTGGGCTATTCTTAGGTACTATACAACCACAAGTGGTTCTGATTTTTTTTTCTTTTTTTCCTCAACAGGTTGTTTTATATCTTTGTATATTTTAATGACAAGAATCACTTTACTTTCTTTAAACGTTTTTATTAAAAAAAAAACTAGTATAATTGTTGAGTGAGGAAAAAACAGGGTGAGGGGCCAGGACGGATTAAACGAGTACATTTCTGCTGCTTGAGAAGAAGAAAGGATTGATGTCACTTCACAGCTGAGAAGAATCAGTATTTTTAGAGAAGGCCAGGCATTAGAGAGAGGGCTTTGTCCCTCCGCCATCTTATCTGGTGGAATGGAGTGCTTCCTTGTGTTTCTTATCCTCCCCTTCCTCTTCCAGAGGTAGAAGATGGGGTTGTGATGATGGTTTGAGAGGGGAAGCACAGATCCTTTTACCTCTAAAACCTGGTGGTGAGCACAGGTGCATAGTTTGGAGCAGAGCTGCCATATATAAACAATCTAAATATTAACTGCCAATTTTTGCCCTGCCTTGTGCCCAAGATTATATATAAGCTTGGCAGAATGCTATTTTTATTTTTTATAATTTCAAAAAGTAATATCAGTTTTATTTGTAAGCATTTAAAAATGTATCTACTTAAATTTTCACAATTTGGGGAAATTATGGGGGCAGGGGTCAGAAAATAATTATGTAATGAGCAGTAGATGTTGAGATTCAAGTAGTTGAACCATTAAAACACAAATTGTCAACGTCACATGTACAAAATATCCTTAAATCAAAGGCTAATAATTTCTCAAGCAGCATTTTTCTTACTTAGCCTGTCTGTAAATTTTGATTATTGCCAGCTGAAATATTTTTTCAATGGTTTGTGTCTGTGTATGGTGAAATCAACCTTTACAGAAATTTAACAATTAAAAATCTAATCCTTCCAAGCCTAATGATACATGGAGAAAGCAGGGGTGGTGGAATGATGGAATAGTTTTATATTCAGCACTAAGTGAGGTAGTCAGTGCACTCCCAATGGACCCCTTCTGCAAGCCAAGCAGCCCCTTTAAGACTGAACCACACTCTGACCTAGGGCCAGAGTCTGACATCCTTTGAATGGCAGTCAGTCAGTAAGAGGGTATAGCAAGATGCATCTCAACATCCTCTCTTAAATACTTAAGTGTGTCATTTTCTAAATGTTCCAGTCTCTAATAGCATTTAGAAACTTGTTTAATGGCTTTTCCTCCTTAGTAGGATACTGATCCTGCCTAGCCATAGTTTTTTCTGATGTTATTACATGCTGCATCATTGGTTTTAAGAATAATGCAAATGAGGTAATGTAGTAATGTTTATTTTCAGGCACATGAAACTCCAAAGCTGAAAATCTGAATAATTAGAGAGCCAGGCAGTGGTTTACTTTGGAAAGGAGTTTTTTTCCTGAATACAATTGTTTGAAGTGTTTTTTTTTTCTTTTTCCCCAAACTGAACAGATGATGACTTCTGCAGTACCTTTTAATTGCAATCTTCTAAGGCAGAATGGCTTTTAAAAAAAGTCTGCTATAAAAAGCAGCTGCTTTTAGAAGCAGTATGTTGTGATTCTTGCTTTAACTGCAAAATATTCTCTGGGTTTTAAAATAAAAGGAAAAATAATTAGCAATTTATGCTTTTTAAATAAAGGATAAAATTTTCAAAGAGACTCGGTGACCTAGTCACCCGAGTGCCATCCAAAGTCAATGGGAGTTAGGCTGTTTTTGAAATAGTGCCCAAAAGCTTGAGACACAGGTAAGGCTTTTTGGTAGTACTTAGACCAGCAAGGGCCAGCCAGACTCTTCCAGCAGACAGTTCCTACATCAGATCATATGCCATCTAAGTCCTTTTGGCAACTTGTGTGCAAGCAATATTTCATAATTATGAAATGGTCCCAGAAAACAGGACACTAATGGAGACTTATGTTTGGCTGTCAGCAATATGTAAATCATGTCAGCAGTGCTCATTAACTGTATAGTCCACAACTATGTTTATATTTATTTGAAACTTCCATGTCTTAATAGCAAAAATAGATTCCAGGGTATATGACCATAAGGGGGGCGGGGGAAGTATTGTCAGGTCAGGTGACCAGTCTTTGCCTTTGATCTTGTGCCTTCTAATACCATTTATGTCCAGCTATAATTGCCCCAAAATACTCTGCCTGGATTACTAGAGTGTTTTATTATTTGAAGATGATCTGTAAATGTCTCTCTTTTTTTGGTATTCTATATATTTCTGGTGTAATAGTGCCTAGAGACCCCAGTCAGAATCCGGAATCTCTATGGGCTAAACACTTAGTAAGACACAATCTGTGCTGCAAAGCATCTACAATTAATTAATTAATTTCAATTAATGTATATGTAATTTTAATTAATGGATAACATTAATGTATTTTTCCATTTGTTTTATGCTACAGAGGTAAAGAACTAAAGGCGCATTCAACAAATACATTATTTTAAAACTATCTTTCCACCCCACTTGCCACCAGGTTGCCTAGAATGTCCTGGCTCCCTAGTTTACACTCAGAGGCATTATGATAGAGCCACAACTCACATATCTGGACTTCTGGGGAGGAGGATACATTTTAAAATAATTTTTGTATGGCATGCTCCTTTAATCCTTTCCTGCTTTGAGAATTCAATACAAATATATTTTGTCCACATTAACAAAATTACAGGTCACTTTAATTTGTACCCTACGCTGATCCAGATTATCAACTGGCGTAAATTGATTTAGCTCCACTGAAGTCAGTGGAACGATGCTGATTTTTTCCCTGGCTGAGGATCTGACCCTTTGAATGTAGCCCCTAACAACATGTGAAGAATCATGACCCAACACACACACTCAGCCACTTGACTGATTCACTTGCAGGAGAAAGCTTGTGTACCTGAAATTAAATAATTGGTAGTGTTGTGTGAAGGACAATAGCAGAATGAAGATGAATTATTAAAGGCTCACAATACAGTGCGATACACCTGGAATGTGAAACCCTGCTGACTAGAAGTGATGATGGGTTGGGATGGAAGTCCTATGCGGACCATTTCCTGGAGAAAGTTTAGTGGAGTCACTGCTGGCTTTTATATGTTTTGCCTCCCTAAACTAGCTAGAAATTCTCTCTCCCAGTCCTTCAGTCACTAAACAGTTTGCTGACACTGGCAACCGATCTGTATTTAGGGCAGAACTGATTCCATATAGAGGTTTCTGAAGCCTGTAAGAGAGGATACTGTTCATGGTGCCTCTCGTTGGGCATCCTTTATTAGCCAGTTCATTAAGCATCATTGACTTTTTTTTCTTGAGTGTTGTGTCAATATCCACTGTAAGTACAGGCTGTTATATGCAAATCATTAATATGACAGTCCATGGTACCTCTGTGTCATAATCAATAGGGTAAATGGTCCCATACTAGAGAACTTCTAGGATGCAGGTTGATACAGAGTCCTGATGGTCTACCTTGACAATGTGAATTTGCCTGTGGTTGTGTTTTGCTTTAAAGGGGGCGAGGGTTTGGTAATCTTGCATTTATGGAAACTAGTTAATTTCTTCCTTCTCTCAAGTGGAAATGCACTGAATCCCAGTTTCGCTTAGCATTGATCTTTCATGTGATAAAACCACAAAATAAATTAGTGCAGTTGGCCAGTCTCTGCTATTTCTGATCTGGCCATCTCTAGAGCAGAGGAGTTGCAGGAAAATAGAACTGTGAGGAAGACTCCAGGATTTTTGGTAAAGATGAGGGTAAATATTGGCCAAGTGCCAGGTGCTTTAAGGGACAGAAAATGGTGGTGGTGGGAAACTGCCTTCAAAATTGGTTTATAAATTTAGTTTTTTTGCTGCATCCCAAAAGGTCTAGAACAACTAGTAAGCACAAGTATCAGAGGGGCAGCCGTGTTAGTCTGAATCTGTAAAAAGCAACAGAGGGTCCTGTGGCACCTTTAAGACTAACAGAAGTATTGGGAGCATAAGCTTTCGTGGGTAAGAACCCCACTTCTTCAGATGCAAGAAGTGAGGTTCTTACCCACGAAAGCTTATGCTCCCAATACTTCTGTTAGTCTTAAAGGTGCCACAGGACCCTCTGTTGCTTACTAAGCACAGGTGACCATAATGTCTTATGATATGGCAGGCTGATGGGCTGCCCAAATACACAGTCCGATATCCTGTCTTGGGACCTCCACTCTTTCTGTCCTCTGTTTTCTCCTTTTTTTTCTTTTGGTCTGTCTTCTCCATCTGTGTTTGTCTATTTCATCCTTTCTCTGTCAAATACTATGGTGAAAGCCACCAATGTAAGAAAGCAGATAGATTTATTTCTTCTTTATTTCTCTCTCCTCTGTTTTGCTGTCTTTCCTCATTTCGTTATTCCCTGTGTTCTGTCTTTCTCTTTTGCTTCAACCTTTCTTGAACTTCAACTACCTCTCCCCTCCCCCAAAACATCCTTTTTGGAACATTTTTCCCTTCCATATGGGGGAAGCCTCTATTTTTCTCTTTCTCTGCAGGGGCAGCTGCAAAAGTCAAGCGGTGGTGCTCTACATAGAGAATTGATGCAGAGGGAATCTGTCCAGTATGTTAATTAGCATCAGTTTCCCTCAGCTGCCCTTTTGAGTGTTTAAAGTATTTCTGTGCATAATGAATCAAGCTCTATGTACATAACCATTTTTAATAGAAAAACAGCTATGATTGCGTGACCCTTGCCAGCTTCCCTTTTTAGCCGGCTGTGTGTAAAGCTCTTAGGAGCTGATGCACAGTTTTGACCACTGAGGATGGCCAGTTGTCTGCTGCTCATGGTACAGCCAGCCCGGTAGCTGAAAGCCTTATAGTATGCATTTGTGTGGTAGATCTGTTATCTAAGAACTTCGGGAGAATGCACTGGAGTGGTCAGTGAAAGCAACTTTGATTCAATATATCCTAATATTTTATTATGAATTCCCCCATTCCCCTAATACACCTGTACACACCTAATCGTGAGCTTTCCCCCTCCATGTCACTTTGACACGTTACATGAAGAAGAGGCTCATTTGCC